CTCCTTCCGAAACAGCATGGGAAGTTCGAGGCGAAGATGGGAGGTGGATGGGGTCTTTTACCTCGGCGCTTGCTCAATTTCTGACTGAGGCGCACGGTCATCAACTGTCTTGGAGAACAAGCATCTTACGAGTCCAGGAATTGGTCCAGGCACAGTTTCCGACCCAGCATCCGCGGGTGGAGGGTCCGCATACGCGCATCCACTTTTCACTTGACGAGGTCAATTCAGAAGCCATCCACCTGAAGATTGAGAATGGTTTACCCGTGCTCCAGGCTGGTTTTGTCGCTGGTGTATCAGAAGGTGATGTGTATGCCGTGACGCGCCTGACTTCGGAGCGGTTCACGGAGGAACAGCAAATAGCTGTGTGTGAGGTTATCAACGTTCAAGCCTTTCAAGCTTTGGTGCAATTGCACTATCCAAGTTCGACTCCAACGCAACAGGTTCCACGGGAAGGGGCTCTAGCCTTTTTGCAAGAGAGTGCACCATATCGGTGGCCAATTTCGGTACCACCCTCTCTGTTGGAGTCACTTAGTGACAAGGTTCAGAAGTCACGCTTTCTTCGGCTTGCCGGCGAGAACGAACCAGGCACTCCTCTGTTATCGATTTATCACAGAGATAGCTTTATCGGTATTGAGTCTAAGCAAGGATTATCTCTTACAACTCGCTACCTCAACTCGGAGAATCCCACACAGATGGACTGTGCCTACCAGGCAGTTCTAGCAGAGGCTGATCGTTTCGCCTGTGCTCAGCGTCTCCTGGGTCTGCGCAACAATAGCCCTGATGACCTTCTGAATCATCAAGTAGACGTCAAAGTCGGGCTGGTTGAGAATCATCAGCCTACAAGAAGCCTCGCCGGAGCAGGGTGCGATGAGCTATACGAAGGCCGGAGGATATACATAGCTCTTCGGAATGACGGCATGACTACGACCTATGTCACCGTACTCCACATCAATGCTCAAGGAAAGATATCCTTGATATCTCGATCCAGTCCGTTTGGAATTGAGCTTCCTTCTGGGCGTTGTCACTGGATTCGCAAAACACCATTTGGTGTTCTCGAGGGTCTGAAAATCTCCTGGCCGGCCGATGTACCACGAGCTTCTCCTATCGATGAGCACCTGCTCTTTTTTATCACCAGCACTCCCGTGGATCTGCGGCCGATCACTGATTATCAAGTCGGCCCTCATCGGACTGCTACCTCAAACTTCGAACGCATCATATATAGGCTGTGTCAAGGCGAGCGGAGAGATCTCATGGAGGACGCCGAGCCCAGCCAAACTGCCTACGATATTATTCATTTCCCGCTGACTGTGCTTGCACAAAATGGATCACTATCTCTCCACACTACTTCTCAGGAGGTTCAGCATCATTCGGCTCACAGTACAAGCCAGACCTCTCTCAATGGCAGACCTTCAATGCTTAGTGATGAACAAGAACTCCCAGCTCTGCCGCCACATCTCCACCCAGAGTCAAGGGTGAGTTTGCCTCCGCTCTTTGCACTGGCGTAGTCTAACAGAGAGTCCGCAAGGGCATCTTCGGTCAAGCTCTTCGGTCCATCAGGGGAGTTCCCGCTTGCGTATGGGTGATCAATGAGCACACCGAACCCATCACCGTTGTGGTCTCCCCATACCGGCCATCGCGTCTGTGGACCGAGGCCGGCTTGAACGTCTCAACCACGGGCGTTGGCATTGATATCTCCACCGCAGTAAGTCTTTATCCTCCGTTCGTTCAGCTTTCGATCAAGTGTACCGGAACTCATTATCTGATTATCGCATGAATGAAGACATTCACGCCCCCCGCAACGCGGAAGACGCTGCCCGCCGCAGTCCCGGGTCAGCTGAAACCCCCCACAGCCGTTTTCCCGCTCTGGACCCGCCGGGATGGGTTCGGGGTCATCACCGTGTTGGTGGGTGCGACGACGACACCGACTTTGTATATCGAAAACGATCGCATTCCGATTGGGGCGACGGCTTACTTCCGGAATGAGCCGGACCTGCACGTTAAAGAGTACTCGACGCAGTAGGGATCATCGTGTATCATGATGATCGCTTCAGTTTCGGTTGGCAATCTCAGTGGTCAATACAACCAGCAGTGCTGATTGTCATTGAAGAAGGCACAGAAGGATCCGAGCCTATAAGGCTCTGCTTGTTGCCCGGGGGCGTGAAGATGGTGTATCCTAGGCTATCTGGAAGGAACTATCTAAACGCGGCCGAGGTGAGGGGTCCAGCATTTGCTGCATATTTCATAGAAAAGTGCTCCCGCGCTTAGACAAACCTACTTACTGCTTATGGATGCGTCGAATAACGCACGAGTTGATGCTGATTCTGTTGACCTTTCGTGTAACGAATGTATGTACTATCATGGGTTCACATCCATCCGGGTTATATGAATATCACCTCGATGAGAAGGATAACTGCTACAAGACCTCAAGTAACTATAGTGAATAATTCCGGAAATTATGTTATTCTGTCCACCGGAAACATTCTAGGGTTTTGATCCTGCTTATTGTCCTCGATTCGTACAAGCACTTTTGTTTGTCCCGGCAAAACTGGCATTGTATCCATTCATCCAACAACTACCAACCTCGGCCGCTAGAAGAAGATCGTTCTCTCTTGATCAGAGTACAGGGCCGATACAACCACTACGCATTGAGAAAGCCGCTGCCTGTTAGATTCCAGGACTTCGGACTTGCTGATAAAAAGGGAGATCGCATTCTTCGATGCTCAATGCTCGAAATTGATCTGCCCGGTGCAATGTACCCCATGAATCCTGCAAGTGAATCGTGTATTTAATTATACCTTGAGCTGCTTGCTGACATTTACTGGTATCATGTAAAGATTCTGCGATGGTCTAACGCACGTTGTTCTAATAGAGAACGATCAATGGTCTCCAACTGCCGCCCAACACGTCACCTCAGTTAGCCATTTAACAACGCCTTCCACATCCTCTGCACCCCAGGCAGTCCTGAAATCTGCCTGGACGCCGTTTGGCGTGGGGCTGGCAGGGTGCACTCGGGTGGCTGGCTGAAGCCCCGTCCAGCAGACCCTTAGTATGTATTGTACGTACTGTATAATATTATGTAGGGTGTTTAGGTACTAGGTACCTACCTAGTAAGCTCTCTTTCGTTACTTTAGAGACACGATTGGTCTGCTGCTTGCAGATTATAAAGAGGGTGAGCTCCGCGTGGAAGTATTGGGATAGAAGTTTTGACCTCTACTAGCCGATGAATGAATTAGAATTGGCGAAAGTGATTTGATCATGTAGTGGACTTGTTTTGATGCGTAATCTGAGCCACTTGACTGCCACTCTTCCGCTCCATGCAGAGCGTTGTATGTCACTTCGTTCTAGTATGAGGACTTCCGATAGGGCTGGACAACTTAGTCTCGCTCGTGGCTTGCAAATTGCAGAAGTCTAACTGTGAATGGAAGCGCGGATCGGAACATCCGGAAAGCAACGAGTTAATGCTGCACTTGCATCCATGTGTGGCATACTTTCCAACCAGAACAATAAGTACTCAGATTGCGTTAGTATAGGTGGTATAGGTGGGTCTCAAGACTGTCACCCGAAGCTGCAATAATGCAACCCCGCGGTTGGTCGCCCCGCGGCTGACAGCTGCAGAGATTGTCCCAGCTCTTCTGGGCGTGTTAACATAGTAGGTCCGTAGCTGAGCCTGCCGTTGCCATTGAATTCCTGAGTAGATTAGATCAAACAGCAGCATGAAGTAAGGCTTTGGGCACCAACCAGTCTATCCCACGATCAGACTTTCGGCCGCGTCAGTCGTTTCCCTCGATTAGAGAAAACCCACTGTTTGTGTCTAGGCCCCGAACCGAATTACCCGTGGTTCTCAATGAACAAAATGAGTCACAGTGTGCCAAAATACAGCACAGCAGCCACAACTCAATAGTTTCGCTTAGTGCAGTCGGGCGTAACGCCACGAATCCACTTTCTAGCCGAATCTGTGGCGCAGCGGCAGGAGGCTTGGTCTATGGCTGGGAGTGAGTTCGATCGGATTGAGCTTTCCCATCGATGACCATTTTGAGCTGATGATTACATGGGGACAGACAAATCCTGTGTCTATATGAGTGACCCAGCTACGTACTACCTTGGCTAGGTGGAAGGGTACCTAACTTGCGACTTACCAAAAACTACCACGTATTACTTGCCCTATATCCGATGTACTGCCAGGGCCCCTGAGCATGCGAGCCAATCTAGAAAGGCGGAATTCCTCCCCGTCGTTTTGCTTTTCACTGACCTTTGGCCATGAAATGCAAATGGACGCGAAGAACAGGAAGGCATTCTCGATTCTCAGCCTGGTGCGCACATAATCCGATTTTGTCTCAGCCACAGCCATCGAACATTTGCCCAGCCTCTTTCAACGGCTCCCACTGGCATCGTGGACCTCAACGCCACATTACCAAACGGGAAACGCTTCATCGATAGTAAGTTTTGAGATGGGCCGCCGCGACATGCAAAAAGCAGCTCACTAAGGCTGAATTGACAAGCAGAAAAAATGGGGTGGGACAAAGAGCCTCCGCAAGGATGGTTGAATGCCTGCCACCGGATAAATATGTCTCAAATATGTGTCAAACGATAAGTCACCCAGCGGAGACGCGCTTCTGTGATCTCTACATAAGAGGAAGAGATCTGTCTGCAAACTTCCTCTTCCGTGAATGTGTGGTAGCTTCGAATTCAATCCTGGCAAATCAAGATGACGACCACGGACCTACCTACTACATTTTCTCCCATGCCACATGGCGATAATGAACAACTTACCTCGCCAGAGTTCACAGGTATCTACCTCTTCTACTGAACCAAGCCACTAACATCATCTCCCGGAGTCGCTACTATTGAGCCACAGGGGACGCTGCATCGGCAAGAACATCAGTAGACGAACCCAGCGATATGTGGAACCTCTACCGTGCCGAAGAGGACGGGGTATGGACGATTGAAAAGTCGAAAGACCTGTCCCTCACCGTCGAAAAGGCCGACTCGGACTCCTCTGGCCGGTATGCCATGGTGGTGCGCTGGACCAAGGAGGAAGGTGAATAGCTGCAGGTCCACTCGATTACCCTCCGTTATGAAGCGGTCAAGAAAGCCCTAAGCCCCGTCATCGCGGATTACCCCGGATTCACCATGACTCTGGAACACGTCAACTTCTCGTTCCCCTTTGTCGTTCGTCAGGTGATGAGACCAATGCTGCCAGACTTGTGAAAGCGAGCAAGATCCTGCCGTTCGACCCTACCTGGACATCCTCCATCGCACCTTAACAAGGGAGGTGGGCGATATCTTGGCGCGCGGCGCCGATTGCTTGAAGAACGGCGTCATCACCCACGACCTCCTCTGGACCCTCCTCAGCCCGCATATTATTCTGCTCTCGACGCAGGAAGGATGGCCGCGCGCGTACAAGTGCGTCGACTCCTGGACTCATGGCTCGACGGTCCCGTGGACACTAAGGCGGGCTATGTCGACTATCACGGCGAGGAGTACTATATGCGGTATCAGAACTTCAACATTGCCCCTTCCAAGACACAATGGCCATTGACAAGCTGTCGGTATTTCCCCTAAAGAAGCACGCTGACCCCGAGGCCATGCGGAGTCACCTCGTCATGCGGGGCCAAAACTGGGAAACGTACAAGGGGTGTCACTACAGACAATTCAAAGGCCCCGGCCGGAGTGTAATCGACGCGGTCGGGTATCACAAGCACAGCTGAAGGTCGTTTCACAGTGGAAACGAGAAGTAAATCTCAGACAAAACCTTTACTGATGAGCATCGACTGCTGGCTACGCCAATTTTCATGGGTTACTCGCTGCGGAAGAAGACCGGGCGATCCTTCCTTGTTGACTATGTTGAGGACATTGTCTGGAATGACCGCCATAGTCAGTGAGGAAGTATCGCCAGGTCTTCTTCCGCAGCGAGAGTTGTTAGTCTTGCCCCACGGGCAGCAAGACCTTGAACGGCCTGGCAGTCGTTAAGGCACAGTCCCTGGATTAATTCGACGACGTGGTGCGCGGCAAAGACTAAGGCGTCAATATCCTACTCAGCGATCCGCCGGGGGTTAGCAAAACCTTGACGGCGGAAAGCATCGCGGAAGTCATGAAGGCGCCCCTTTATATACTTAATGCAGGCGATCTTGGCACGAGCGCTGAAAAAGTGAAGTCTACCTTGGAGGAAGTTCTGGAAATCGTTCCCCAGTGGGGAGCGGTCCTTCTCATTGATGAGGCCGACGTGTTCCTGGAAGCGCGCACAACCTCTGATCTAACGCGGAACGAGTTTTTTTCGATCTGCGCAAACTGGAATATTATGAGGTACGCAACTCAAATAAACGACCTTCCCCTTCCACTGTCGCCCCGCTCTCTGGCCGCACCCTGGACCACTTTTGGTTGATTCCCTCGTAGGGCCTCCTCTTCCTCACCAGCAACAGGGCAGAAAACATCGACCCGGCTTTCGACTCCCGGATCCACATCTCCCTATAATACCCGGACTTGGGCTCCGTCTTCCGCCAACAGGTCTGCGTGCAGTTCCTGGATCAGAGTACGGGGTTCACGGACGCACAATTTGACAGTCTAGCAGAGATCAAGTTCAACGGGCGGCAGATCAAGAATATCCTCAATCCTGCCCATACGCTGGCGCGGGATCAGGTGCGAGAGCTGCGCCACGAGGATTCTGAGACAGTGATCACTTTGCGGTCCTTCGGCCGGGGTCTTGTATGATATTGTTTAATTGGAGAATCCGAATAATGAGTCATGATGCCAGCCTTTGCCTAGGAGCTCAAGTACGATGACTAGACGAGTGTCTCAAGTTGTAGATCAGTAGGAACATTGTAGGGCTTATAACAATGGTTATCCCTGTCAACAGCGGCAGCTAATAATTGCTACTGGCGCGAAAGCTGCGAACTTTGAGGTCCAAGGCTCTACTGGACATGTACTAATAAATCTGGGTAGTGAACCATTATTTCAGGCCCTGAAAACCTCTCAAAACAGATGAGTATAAGATAACCTCGATTGGAGATATTTGGAGCAATATCTATTGTCAAAAGAACATCTAGATACTGCTGGTATGCCAGAAGACCTAATATATTACTAGATCTGCCGGGTATATCACAACTTATCGCTAGTAGTTACAAAAGAGCTTTATACCCCACTCTACAGAAAAAGCAGTCTAGGTAAATTAGGGCACTAATAAATAATTGCTAGCGCCCTCTACTTATGTTCCGAAGGCAGCCAGCTATGTTGATACTCGTGGGCTGGAGATGAGCAGATAAACGGAGCTGGATACCCGCCGATAAGTGCTCTCTCCTGGCAACCTCACAGCCCCCTGCGTGGGGAGCTGAAGTGGGGAAAATCCTACGCGATCCGAACACTAAGCTGAAGTGGCCCGTTGTGCAAAATAAAAATAAGAATAAAAATAAGAAGGTGGAGGCGAACCACAACTGCGTCATTGTAGCGGTTCATGCCATCCATCTTCTCGGTGCGAGGCTATAAATACCGAGCGTGTTCTCGAGAACAAATCAATGAATTCCGTTCCAACTTGTCTTAGGTAGAACCTACTGCAACGCCAGCGACAACTGCCCCTTTCATCCCTTCCAAAAGAAAAAAATAAACGAAAGACGAAGTCTCTCTTCTGTCACCATGTTTTTCACCCGCAGTGGCCTGAAAAACTTCATGGGGATCCAGTCAATTGTGCAGTGTTCCGACAAAAAACTGTATTGGTTCGATGGGCAAGCGTTGACGCCAGACGACTTCATGTCGAAACATAACCTCCAACTTCGGCATGAAGGTTACATCACTACCTGGGCTTGCTATTACCATTTTTTTCAGGCCGCCAATCACTCTTTTAAAGAGGTAGTCTATGACTTACATGCACATTGCTAAAGCCGATCTGATGGAGTGAATTAGATCCAAGATGCAGTCGGCTCCCGCAACATCTGCCGATTTTCGAGCGACGAACTTGAGCATTACGGAACGTTCCTTCGAAGCGAAGGAGTTCTACGTTAAGAGATACTCCTGCAGACTGGCGAAGAAATATGGCGGTGCGATCACCCAGGCGTGATTTTCCAAGGATATGAGCAGAACCTTTGGGCACATTTTACTGCGAGGGAAGCATGTTTTCGAACTATGTATCTTCAACCCAGAAAGACTCTTTCCTGTATGAAGTGCCAAAAGAGATGTGTCAGGGGTTAAACCGAGTATCAAGTTGCTTTGGTAGAAGAATGGGACCAATATTCAGGTCACCCAGCGCTGCGAAACATCTCGAATTCCACACTTCAATTAGAGCAAACTCTATGAGTAACATCAAATCCTTCACCTATTCCGCCGATAATCATGTCGAAAGTACAACATATTAGAGCAGACTCCACGACCGGTCTTGCTTTGACGATGGTACAGTACACTAACCATCGGGCCGTATTTCAACCCTAGGGCATAGCACATGCCCCGTCTGGACCTAATGCTCCCAGTAACGGAGCAAGCTATCCCAACAAAGCCCCGTTCCACAGTCTCTTCATACGCACAGGAGGAGCGGTGGACGCCAAATGCCACGCCAAATGGTTCCTCACAAGGAGAGCACATGACTGCCGCGTCCTTTCTATCTTCAGACCCGTCTGCTGCATCTATGTTTCTGCTGCATTTTGAACCCACAAAGTGGTGCTGCCCGAGAATGAGATCTAAGGTGCTCTATATTGTATGTCGGCTTCATTTGATCTTTATCGATAAGATGATTAGTTCCAACTAGTTGATGTGATTTTGGGTCGACTACACCTGGCTAGATGTTTCGCGGTGATAAAACGTCATTCAAAACGCAAATATTGATGTGATGAATTGTCGCGGGATATTGCGATGTAATCCGGTTCCGACGCCCTACGTGTTGAGAAGTTGACATGATTTCCAGCATGGTATTGCCCGAAGGTTCAGAGAAGCAATCAGAGAATGGTACTCTCGACCTAGACGCCAGACTTATTAGTCCTGCTGATTAGTTCTTAAGAAGGCGCGTAACAACCAGATTTGTTCAGGCTCATGCAGCTGCAGGGGTTCGGCGCCAAGGCACACCAATCCCCGCGCAAGAATTAACACCCTGACGCGCGCAAGTGCTTACATGGAAGCCTTGCGTACTAAGTTGACACCTCAAATCAGAGGAAAGTTGAGGGCCAGCCCTGTTTCACCTGTCTGTCCACCCCCGAAGCGCAAAAGAGCATTATAAAAAAGCCGATTTCCCCCGAGACAGTGATGAGCGAGAATAATCTTGAGAGGTCTTTAACCAGTGATTTCACGACAACCCTGCCGCCCAAGCAGTTCATGTTGCTCAGGGATCCTATGCTAGCAATCATCATTCTACAACCATCTGCAAAGCTTATTGCTACGGCTTGTTGATTCCGTAGTGGATCAGTGCCTTCTTTATTCTTGAAATTCTTTCGGTGTACTGTGGGTCTGATGGCTCCCGGGCGAAGTATGTCCAGAATGTATGTCACTGTCCCAGTGGGCTAGCAATTCTTTCATCTGCTGTCTTCGCATTTGCTTAACAAGTGCATAGTCCTGTACGGTGCCTCTCCGGTGCACGAGAGGAGCTTGAAGAGTCACTTCCAAAAGCCACCATACATCCGCTGTCCAACTGCGATGATTCAAATGTCCGAAACGCTACTCATTTATCTCAGAACCGGCTACAGTCAAGCCATCCAGCTCGAAGCCTAGAAACAGATGGTGTATTTTCCTCAGGGTGATTTTAACTCCCAATTGAAAGAGACTTTTAGGAGATACGGTGCTGATAGTCTGATACCAATAGCCAAGACACGCGTGAGTCGGAAGACTGGTTCAATGAGCTAGACGATTTGATTAGAACCATGCAATGTCCCTCGACCCTACGAGGAAGATATCAACCAGTCAGGATAGCGATAATCGACACCGGCCTTCATCCAACGTACCGATCCCGATTGAATGTGGTCGAGTATAAGGACTTGATCGACAACAGACTCACCATGCGTGACAATACATGGCATGGTACCCTGTCTGCCACTCTCGCTGCCGGTGCGTGTGACAACGCGGAATTATACATCGCAAGAATCTTCGACACAAAGGACGCAGATATCGAACAAGGGCCGCGCCTTATGGCTAAGGTCCGTCCTTCCCCTGGCCCTATTTCCATTCCTTCCCCACGCTGCAGATCCTAACGCCTCTAATCAGGTCATTGCATGGGCAATCGAGCCCAAGCGTCGAGTTGACATTATCAGCATCTCCGCTGGCTTTGCTAGACACTCCCCTGAATTACAGCGAGCAGTCAACAAAGCTAGCAACGCAGGAACGCTGATCTTCGCCGCCGCCTCAAACTGGGGCAATCGGGGTCGCGTCGCCTTCCCAGCCCGCCACAGTTTCAAGACTATGTGCATCTTCTCGACCAACTCCCGGGACCAGGCATCATCCTTCAACCCCGAGCCCCGCGAACGTGCAGATAATTTCGCGATTCTGGGAGAAGCTCTCACGCATCCCGCTGACTCCACTAAGTGCGAAAGTGGCACCTCTATGACCACAGCCATTGCCGCTAGACTGACGACTCGTATCATCGACGTTAGCCGGCATGAGGATAACGCCACAATCGAGCGCGTGGCCGACGTGAGCTCCCTCGCGGGCATGACTGCTATTTTCCGATCTATGTCCAAACGGGCAGGGCCGTTTCAATGCGTCTCGCCGTTGCAACTAATGCCAGAGCGGCATATGGATAACACGAGAGAGAGGAACCGCGCGTACGTGCGGGAGAGCCTTCATCGTGCTATGGAGCGCGCGGGCTAAAAGGTTCTGGAAGCTGCGATGTGCACAAGCAAAGTGTTTATATATGTAGTTGAAAGCTTGTTTGAAATAAATCGACGCAATAAGCTTGCACCTCATCATCATCCAAGACTGCCCCGCCCTCCGATCCCGAACGAAGCCCGTTTGTATCACAGCTCCAACGACCAATTCTTAGCAAACTACCCATCGCGTGCATAGGTGACCAAGCGCACCGTCCACACAAAGCCCGAGCGATGCGTAGTCACAGCACCAGCAATATCCCTGCTCTCACCCACAAGAACACATATTAGCATTCCCCCCTCGTTTATGAAAGAGCATCCACATTCATGGTAAAAGGTCACCAACATCGAGAAAGAGCTTTAGAATACAACTTGCAGGGATCCTGCATTTGCCTGACCAGAGCAACAGAACAGGTGATCTTGGAAGACATTGCAGGGCTGACGTGGCCATACATGTAGTAAGTATATGGTTCCGTGGTGCGGCTGCGGCTTCCCCTTAACTCCGTAGTACTTGTCCCATTTAGGGCAAGAAAATATCTGCCCTTCATTTCCCTTAGGAGATGAGATTGATGAAGAAATACGAAAGCCATAGAATCAAGGCGATGCCAGTGCTAAGAGGCATGTGAAGCATTATACCCAGACCGCGCAAAGGAGACCTCTCGACCTGGTTGGGAAGAGTGCGATGGTGGAGGAACCATTCTTGCGCGTGGACACGCGCAGCCTGCGTCGAGAGGTTGAGGACAAGTGACGGGCGCCGTGTGTGGAGAATCCGGGTCTTTTGTGTCCTTATTCTGTGCATGAGTGACTTATTGGTGTTGTTATACCTAGTCTCTGTACACTATAGTATTGTACTATAACCTAAGAGCCCATGTTGCACTACCGCGTGATAGATCTGAGGGTCTAGAATTTATCTAGGTATCCTAGGAAGACTTTTGAGATCTAGTTTACATACTATACTGTACTGTACGTTCTATTAGAAGCAGGTCAATACGTGTATGTATTTACTGATAAACCTCTGCAAGTATATATACTTTATCTAACATGAAAGTCGGGTCGGAGCGACTGGCTGTTTGTTCTGTACAGGGGGCACACCATGCATTCCACCTTGGCTAGAAGCTTTACCGAGCCCCGGAAAATCAATCCCGGAACTTGGTCAGCTGGCTCTCTACCCACTGCTGCAAGCGCTGCAGAGAATGCTGGGCATACTTCAGAATGGTTTCGCGTGCGACAAGCGCCTCGGGACTTTCCAGATACGATACAGCGCGATCGATCACGTTATGAAGGTGCCACTGGTTCATAGCGGACGGCATGCTGGCGGCCTCCATCTGCGCGGCAGCCTCTCCCCGAGTAAGGATAGTGACTTGGACTTCCTTGTCCAGCGCCTGGCCCACTATTCTTACCGCTTCCTTCAACGTCATCCTTTCGGGCCCAAGGAGCCGCATGATACGTTCTTGGGCGTCATTGACCAGGATGGTCCCCGCCACATGGCCAATGTCCTCAGATGAGATAAAGTCGAACGTGGCATCGGGGTTGGGCAGCCTGACTTGTACCTGTAGGATGGCCTGCTTCTCGTGCAGAAGGTTACTGGCGTAGAATGCAGGCCGCATCGTCACGTAACCAGAGCTCCCATAGATTTTCTCCAGCGCGATCTCCACCTGGGCATGCTCCAAGAAAATGATGTCGGAAGGTCTACCTCATCAATGTCGGTCAAGATAATGAAACTGCTTGGGAAGACGACAAACTCTACCCCGGCCTCTTTGAGTGCTCGGAGCGCGACCCTCATGAAGTCCGGCCCATCGAATGAAGCGGAGCTCGCGCAAAGAGAGTTCGAAGCGGCGCGCGCTGAAGTCCCGGAGTGCCGATAAAACAGCATCCCATGTAAACAGGTGGATGTTCTGAGCGTTGCCTCGGCGATGCTGACAGGGGAGCTGGAATAACGCAAGGGGAATTACGAGGCGGCGTTTGCGGCGCTTCGGGAAACCATCCGCCGCGAGGATGCGTTGCCCTACTCCGACCCGCCGCCGTGGATGCAACCCGTGCGCCATGCCTTGGGTGGTCTGCTGTTGGAGCAGGATTGGGTGAGAGAGGCGGAAGACTTGTTCCGGGAGGATCTAGGATTTTCCAAGGACAATCCGCGGCGCAGAGCGAAGCTGAACAACGCGTGGGGGTTGCATGGATTGTATGAGTGCTTTACGCGCCAGGGGAAAACTGAAGAGGCGGTGTTTATTCAGTCGGCGCGGGATATTGCCCTCGCGACGGCCGATGTTCCGGTTAGAGCTTCGTGTTACTGTCGCGTGTCGGCTGTGAGGAAGAAGGCTGTGCTGTATGTAGGATTTGATTATTGGTCATGCATATGCTTTTTTATTCATCCCAGGCAGGTGTGTAAGATATGCATATATACTATTCCTAGCTAGCTATCTTGCTGCTCCCCGTTGCATAGCCTCTTAAGTGCTACTTTGCTATCAGGCAGGGTAAGGCATAGGTCGAGCCTGGCTAACAGCTCAGAGATTACCCTGTCCCGCGCCACTCGGCACGGTAGTCTGGATTGCCGTGTACGCCGACGCGGTCGCGATGTTCTTGCCTTCAAAGTCAACCAAGAAAGCGGTGTCAGACTGCGAGAAGGTGCCCGAGCTTCCGAACCCGTTGATCTGGCACGCGCGGCCAAGGTAGGTCGAGCAGACTGCGTTGGTCGTCGAGTCGGGGGAGGTGAACAGCTGACCCGACACCGGAGATTCGACGGGAGTGTCGATGTTCTGGAAGACGTTGCCTTCCGCCAGCACGTAACCCCCACTGCCAATCTCAAACGAGTGGCCGTCGGAGTCGTACCAGTAGTTGTTGACCTAGTCACCGATTGTTAGTTGACTTCTAATTCAAATGATACTCCGTCGGGGTATAGCTTCGCTTACGGCGTGCAGAAGGGTGTTGCCCTGGACCTTCGGGCTCCGGCCGCTGAAATGATAGATATAGTTCTTCTGAAGAGTTACCAGATCAGACGAGCCGTCGAAATATAAACCCCAGTATGCGTAGCCGTCACACGTTGCGCTGTAGCTAGTGACACCGTCGAAGTACGAGTTGGAGATGGTGACGCGGTTGTCGGCGCTGGTGCCGAGGACGACATGCTGGCGGCCGATGCGGGCGGTCTACTTGCCTGTTAGCTATGCTGGAAGAGATGATTGTATCTTCACTCGGCAGGCTCAAATAGCACAAATAGAGCTCGGTTGAAGGGAAGACTAAGACGGGGCTGCGGGGGGCGCACCGTGACATGGTCGATCCAGACCATATCGGCGTCGTCGAGGGTGATGGCATCACCACCCCAGACGTATTTCTCGTTAATATCTGTGATTGCGACGTTCCTAGTACAAGTTAGAAGAAGGCTTCAGCCGTAGACGATCGAGACTGACTGAATGATAATGTTGCTGGCACCGCTGACAATGCGGAGACCCTTGCCCTTGATGATACCGGTGGATCCAACGCCGATAAGGGTCTTGTCCGATGCGACAGTAATACCCAACACACCAGCGTTGTCGCTATCGTATTGTCAGCATTTGAGGGATTTAGGTTGGCCAGAAGATAGACACGTACTATGTCACGGAGACGGAGGGAGCATCCGGCTCGTAGTTCGTGCACCAGTCGTTCTGGTTAATTGCGACCTGACAGGCCGATGCAGTTCCCCATGGAGCACATCCAGTGGCCGTAGTGGTACCTTCGGTGCCAGTGAAGTCAAAGCTATGTCGGTTAGGTCATAATTTTATTGATAGATGTGAGGATAGACGAGTCCATCAATCTGGGGTGGTACTATCCCATGCCCTCGCGGGCGGTGGGCCGAGGGGCCAATCAGGTGCGATCACACTCCGACATCACGAATCTCAGTGGTAAATGATTAGGGCTAGGTAGATTGCACTTACGTTTGCTGAAGAACGATCACTCGCGCCGAAGAGTCACCAAGGTACGAGACCAGCTCATCAGTCGTGGTAGGATAAACTGCAGTCGCACTACCACCACCAGTGACGCCCTTTGCAAAGCCCTCTGCCGCACCAGAAACACTCACAGCTGTGGCGAGCTGGGCCGCAACGGCTAAAAGACTGAGAATCGTGGTCAAAGCCATATTGCAGGTTATTGATACTGTCTGGCCGTGCTCTACCTTCAACCCGCAGAGTATAACTCCTTTATATGTCTTTTCCAACTCCACCGAATCAATATAGGGATTCTTTGGATAGTAGCATCTAAAGCAACTACTAGCCATGAAGAGTAGTGGGGCCGGTGACAAGTGACTAGAGAATGGTGGATTAGTGAATATCCGTAAATTGGAAACCATGTGGTGAAGTTCCTCAGCGGTGATTGATGGAGGCACGCCACAAAGTTTCCCGTCCTGTGCGGAGTACTTCCCGTGTGCTGAATCTGCCGGCTGGGGGCCAAGGTGTCAGTGCACCCACTAGGAAGCAAGAGAGCATGAAGAGAAGCGGGGCGTGCCCCAAGAGCCTAATTACTAGTGCCTTGTCAAATTGCATTAGACTAAAATGTCTGGGCGGTGCTCCTAAAAGACTGATTGACGGAGGGTTTGTCTCATCATTTCCGCCGTTTGCGGAGATTTGTCCGTGGGGCTATAGTATGCTTCAGTATAAGGGGGGAGGATGGGTTGACTGCCAAGTAGTCTAGAAAGGTGTCATTTTTTTTTGAGTGTAAAATAATCATTAATACTCGATTGCGACTATTTCATCTTGGTTGCGAAATTTATCGTGGGCTCATGTGGCAACAAAAATAGACCCAGTGTCATCACCTTCACTGGTTGCATTCTGAAATCAAAGAACCGGAAGACTGATGCATATAACACAGTTTATTAACCATTGCATGGTCCGATATGATATTGCGACAGAGATAAGCACATCGGGTAAGAACTTATGAGAATGCTTAATAGCGCCATTGGTTTTGTGAGTACCAGTCCAGTCACTTATAACTATAGATAGTAAAAGCACAGTGATCTTATTTCCGTCGGTAGACCGTTCTGTATATGCCCACTTTTATCCATTTTTTTTCTGCCTGTTATCTAGCCTGTCTGCTTAAAGAATTTCCTATTCGTGCCATCGAATCTCGAAGGCATAGTATTACTTACAAAACGGAGATAAGATAAAAGGAAAGATTACAGCGTCAGTTTAGCAACGACTCTAAAGGCTTCCTTCATCGACTCCACACTATTCTGTAAGCTATGAATGCTCGCAGTACCTAGCGAGTCCATGTCATCAGTCGCTGTCGCTGCAGCCAATGGCTGTGCATTAAACCTGGGAGCCTTCATCCAGTGCCTATGTGATTGACGCAGTTTATTATTGAACCTCCCCATTCACACCGTGCTCAAGGTGAATCTGGAGATACAGCAAAGTCGATAGTCTACCTAGAGTTTGGGGTCAAAGAGAGGCGGATCGTAAAGGATAAACTGGTGCTTAGACCTTACCTATCAATTGACCTGGCAAAGACATAGCGCACGTTTTCACGGAGAGTGTGGCTACACTCATAAATTTTTTTTTAAAACATGGGATCAACAGAAGAACGTCGCTAAGATAGCTTTCAAGACGATGAATAAAGATATGCATAGTCGTATTGCCGGTTGCTTGTGACGAAACTCGGCATCAATTTGCTTTGAGCGCCGCCCTAACGAACAATGAGCATTGTGATATAGTTGAGTATTACGCTAAAAGGACATTTCTCTGGTGATATCCACTTAATATAGATTCTCGCAGCCTCCAGAGCAAACGATCAAGACATTTGATGTTGAATCTCGCTATCTACAGCGGTGGATATCCCGCAATGCGATGGTATAAAGTGCGAAATTGCACCCCGGTAAGAGAATCAGTGTCCCCACTCATCCTTCCCACTCTTTGAGACTCTCGAATTATTGTGACAAATCAAGACCATGGCACCCATGACTTGCCTAGACGCGATTGCCCTGGCATTGTGGGGGGCTGTAGACACGGATTGCACCATCAAAAAAGTCAGCACGACGCTCAGGATCTTCGACATTCACGGGAAACATTGGACAGTACCGGTGATACACTCCATCAACAACACCGGCCATGCTGGCTACAGCACGGTCATCGTGCTTGGACATGTGGAAATAAATGAAGAGGACGTGGTCTCGCGACTGGGTCAGTGCCAGATGGACATGGGGTCAAGCTTCGGGAATGCGAAGCCCTCTTTTGGGGCGATTGACCGTGGCTCCAGCGATCCAGCAGTCCCCGATGCCCCGTGCAGGCTCCACCAGTCCACGTTCCGGTTCCGCTATCAACGTGCTCGGCCTGAGCCCGATGGACCAGAGGAGATTGTCCTCTCTGCGGAAAGGGTTCCAGGACCGATTATCGCCGAAGCACTACGGTTGATGTCCCGCATTAATGAAACTCGGATGGCGCAGCTAGGGCTGAATGGTCAACCAGCGCCCTGAAGGCTGTACATCTTAGTTCTCGATCGCCCTCCGTAGGTACGTAGGCATGATTTGAAATATGCCATATTATACATCATTGAATAAAATCACTATAGTCATACTCAGTCACTGTTTTTGTAAACCACAAATTAGCCCAGTAGCTGCAGGCTTGTATCGCTATGGAACGAGGCCAATGTCATCACCCATACGCTGCGAACCTGAGCCTGGGCTGATGTTATCTGGAGTGAGACATGAGTCCCCAATTGGGAATATATTATTACCTCACAATCCCATGCAAGACGCTCCGCACCCTTTCAAACTCTGCTTAGAGCCCCAACTCATGTCGAGCTGGATATGAACGTCAGCAAGCTTAAGTCATAAGCTACAACACACAACGATCAAACATCGACAATTTGTTAATATGATATTCCTCTATCTTAAGAGCTTACTGTCTTGGTAAAGAACGCATTCAACTCACGAGATCTGCTCCAAAGACCTCTTACCGAACAGGCCCACTGGTATAAGATAATTAAGCATGAGAGCCACTTTCAAATTCTTATTAGATTAGGTGTATGACAAACCCATTTCATCCTATCTACGCCAGGTTGGCACACAGCTGGGCTAAGCTGTGGTACAGAACGCTCTGGTGGTCACTATCCGCGATAGATACTTCATATGAGAAAAGATCATGTGCTATGCGATGCCTTGAAGTTGAGGCCCTCGAGCTTGTGATGGAGGTGTTGAGGATTACTGAGGAGAAGGTCGCGGAGCGGGTTGCTAACCGTTGATTTGGAAAGAGAACAGACCTAGTAGGCACAATGATAGCATCGGAGGCAATAACACAAGAGAAGATGGAGGTAAACGCAATGTCGATAGTTGCGGCGGGCAGCGAATCTGTTGAAACACTTATCACGGGGGTGATGAATCATCTTCTTCAGGAACGTGAGGTGCTTGGCACCTTGGTGGAGGGGATGAGGGCGATATTCAAGTCGAAAGCGACATCACTGCTACAAGGCTGCAGTTGGTCCATATCTGGATG